TCACCGACCATCTGACCTGAGAAGAGCACAGTATGTGAGTTTATAAGTAATCCCATATCTGATTATTAAAAATCCAAAGATGAGTTCTTTCTCCAAAAGGCCTATGAAAATCTCTCAGGCTGCATCAGATGGAAATAATTGTTCTTTCCCATTTATTTCTCCTAAGAGTTCTTCCCAATTCAGTTGAATACTCCTAAGGAGTTCTTTGGAAATGTGCAGTATTTTTCCTATCACTAGACCTGAAGAAGATGATTGACATAGAGTGGTTGCAAGCTGAGAATTCTAAGTGATTTGAAATATCTGGCCACACATAAACAATGAAGTATTGTCTTACCTTAATGCAAGTGAATCTACCTTTAAGAAACCTGGAAAGTAGCATGTGCTTATGCCATTTGAACGCAAATCATTACATATTAAGAAACATTTTCTTAATTACTGTGAACTTTAATAAAGGTATACACATTCACCTTTGTATCCTTGGTTCATAACTTAGTGTTAGCGATATACGAGACACTAACTATTCAATGAATATTTGTTCATTGAATTAGAGTTAATGTGTAATGAATAGGTATTTGTTGAGTATCTGATCTGTACCAGTCACTGTACTTTGAGATGAGAATAATTAGGTGAACTTCCTACATCATTATTCTCACCCACTCAACAGTTAAGTTTCTGCAACTGGGTTTCCAACTCTCAATTGCCAATTAGCTCCTGTTTTCTTTTATGTCTCAATTTAAATGTCATTCTCCAAGGGAAGCCTTACTTGGTTCTCATGGAACAGAGACTTAGCAAAAAGGTAGGGACCGAGGCTTTTGGCAGTGTTACAGGGTAAGTCCGTGGAGGTTGGATATCAAAGATGCTAAGACAGCTGAGACTTATGAGGCCACGATCCTAGAATGGAAGAAACAAGCATGAAATTCTATGTGTGGTTTTCTGTAAGAAATTTAACTATGTCTAAGCTGCACAGAAGCTGGCAGGACATCAAAATACTAGGCAAAATGCACCCTGTGGGAAGCTGGAGATCTGAGCAGAGATTTTAACTTTGTGTAGTGCTAATTTGATAGAAGTCTTTGAATAAAGAGAATCAGGCTGAAATATTGGAAACAAAACAAAAATGAGGAACTCATTAGGTGTGTTTCATAGTAAATTGAGCACAGTAAAAAGACATACATATTACAGGATGAGTATCAGAGTACAAACATATATTAAATTCTGAAATTATCCAACATATGAATAATTGAAGTCTACAAAAGCAACAACAAAGCAAAACCAGGATAACAATGGCATAAAGAAAATCTCCAAACTGATGAAAGACCATGAGCTACAAATTCAAAGAACTCTAAAAATTCTAAACCTAAGAAGCATAAGAACATAAATGCTTAGGTGAATTTCAGAAAGATTACAGGAAGCCAAAAACAAAAAAAAATCCACCTATGGAGCAGAGGGTACAGCTCAGCGGTAAAATGTTTCCCTAGCATATGGGGTGGGAGCTGGGTTCGATCCTCAGCCCTGCAAATTAAATAAATAACATATAAATAATAAATAAATAAAACCGTGAAAAGCTTCTAAAGGAAGGTAGAACACATACTCCATTTAAAAAAGAAAGAAAAATCTGATAATTGACTTTGTAAAGAAATTTTGTAAACGTTTAAAGATTTTTAACTGTTAACAAAATTCTACCAAAAACAAAATATCTCTAAAAACTAAAGGTGCAACAAAGAATTAGTCTGACAAAAAGCCTATCAAAATTCATCAGTAGTAGATTTAGTAGGAGAAAACAATATTTTTAACAAGGAAAATCAATACAGGTATAGTGTTAAAGAAGAATTGAGGAGCACACACACACATATATGTATGTATACAGGAAACTAAGACTGTAGGAGAGGTACAAAAGATGAGAAGGCAGCAACTTTGAGAAATAATTAAGAAATAGTATTGTCTTTCATGGGTAGGTAGGTGATGCCACTGTCACCAAGCCTGTAGCCTCAGAATAAAATGAAAAAGAGCACTCTATCAAATCTTTTTAGAAATCAGCTTTATTGAAGTATAATTTACATACACAAAATTTAAATATATAGGTTGGTGACTTTTTAAAAATGTATATACCTATGTAGCCACAAACCCAATTGTGGTATACAATGATTTCACCAACCAAAAGAAGTTACCTCTTGCCCCTTTGCTTTTAATCATCTCCCATATTCTGTTACACGTTAAGTGTTGAGACATGTTTTTGGTACCCTAAGTATGAATCCAGTCACAGAGGAAAGTTTTCCTGGTTTGTATAAGCTAAGAACATTTTAACAACACAGAATGTCAAGATCCTTTAAAATTCCTCCCAGTTTAAATTTTTACCTTTTAAGTAGCAATCTGTAATCCATAGGAAATAAAAACTTTAAGAAATGCATAAAATGAGTTTTTGATTGTTTCCAATGGGAATATTGTCACTATCATTAGTTCTGACCTGGTGACTCACTCTGTTCTGGGAAAACCTTTTATCATTCCTGATACTCTTTTCTTTTCCTTTTTTCTTTCTTTTCTTTTTTTTGGAGGGACATCTACTAACATCTACACCTGGCATCATTCCAAGCCTTCACATCCTCCTCTTCCAGGAGTAAATTAGCTGATAGTGAATTTGGGAGAAAACTAGATATGCTATTGCATTTATTTGCTAGGGCTACTATAACAATGTGCCATTTCCTGGGAGTCTTAAACAACATAGATTTATTGTCTAATAGTTTTGAAAGCCTGAGGTCCAGAATTAAGGTTCTGTCTGAGGTCTACTAGAAAGACTCTGTTCCACATCTATCCCTAAAACTTTAAGACAATCTTTGGCATTCTTTGGCACATGGAAGCATCATCTAGATTTTTATCTTCATTTTCACTTGGCATTCTCCCTGTGTGATGTTTGTGTCCAAAATTACCCTGTTAACTGAAACACTAGTCATACTAGATCAGAAGCCCATCCTACTACAATATGTCTTCACCTGAACAAATTAAACCTACAACAAATCTATCAGAAATAAAGCCATATCTGCAGTAATGGGGATTTAAAGTTCAATATGTGAATTTTGGAAGGACACAATTCACCCACAGACAGCATCCAGCCATTCTTCTTATTGCTTTCTCTTGGGAGCAAGCCTGCCTCTGTGTTCTTGACTGCTTTTGACCATGCTATAAGCTGATAAGTAAAGCCAGTTTCATTGGGAAGATCTGAATGTCTTCCAAATAACAAAGAAGGAAAGAATGTCAAATTCTAGGATTTGGAACATGAAAATTGAGCTGGGAGTTCAGCTCAACAATAAGGCACTTGCATAGCATGCACAAAGCATACTTTCTTTTTTCTGTGGCTCCATCCCTGACACACACACACACACACACACACACACACACACACACACTATAACAGTGCTGGATGTAACCATATCCCTTACAGCTGAGTGATTTAATTATTTTTATCTTTTAGAGTTGAAATATGCAGGACAAATAATCTGCATGGAATTATCACAATCATTTGGAGAGCATTGAGCTTCTAAATAAAAGGGGCTTGGATAAAGATGAGATTAATATGAGACATATCTTTCTTTTGAGAGGGAGAAAGGAAGGAGGAAGGCTGATCATTTACAAGGGTGTGCAGTGAGAGCCACTCCAAGTCGATTGAAGTTCCAGGCCTCACAAAGAAATGACATTTATTGAGAAAGAAAATGGAGTAGGAACAGCTGTGGGAGAAATATAATAAATTCAGTCAGAGAACACTGAGTTTGAGGGTTCTGGGAGAAAGGCCAGTGAAGTTCATATGTCCTCCAAGAAAGATTGTATTTGGAGTTAGGAATACTATCACTACCACCACATGGATAACAACTGACCTTATGGGAGAAGATGGAGAAGATAAGGTCACTCAATGGGATTGTGGGGAAGTGGGGAGAAGGCAGACAGCTGGAGATGAATACTCCTAAGAGCCAAATATGAAGAGCAAGATGAAGATCCTGTCAGAAACAGCCAATGAATAACTTAACCAGCAGAGTGTATGTTCCCATCATGATGTTAAAACAGCCCTTTCTCAGACTGAAACCAAATATTGGAGTGCCCTCTCTTTGCTAAGGGCTATGTCTGTGCTGACTTCAGCCCCAGAATTATTGCACTGGTTAGATTATAGGCTCATCAGGATGCTAATGAGGAGGTATAAATGGGAAGACAGAGCCAGAGAAATTCCAACAGAAGAAGAGAATATTTTCTTAATCTGGTCAGGGAAGACCTCAAGACTGAGAGGTCATCTTTCAGAATAGTCCCTCCATCCTGTCTCAAGATTTGTCCAATATGCTAATAAGTAAAACATGTTACCTAAAATATTAATGAGAAATCATTGTAGAAGTATAGAAGACAGGGCACCAATTTAGATTAAATTACCATGACCAAGCTGATTATGAACACCTTCACAAAGGGCAGTGGGAGAAGTAATTTGACTATAGACATTTCCTTGAGAGATTACAGGAGTATATTAGCTTAAATAAAAGGAAAATAAGCCTATTTTTTCTGAGACATTAACATAAGTGTTCCCAAAAGTTTAAATATCCATTTATCATAGCAGGGCAGTTTCTTTGAAGGAAGTGACCTGAACTGCCTGACTTGTCAACCTTATCACTTGTTACATATCTACTAGAAATTTCTTTCCCAAATGTGATTTTAGAAGATGAAATTTAAAGAAATTTAATCTTTAAAATTTGTTCCCAATTAAATAAGACACTAATAAGTAAGTATGGAAGATTTTAAGTTACAAAATATCTTCTGAAGTATTCTTACAATGAAAAAATCCATATTTCATTTGGATCCAGCAGATCCAATGTAAATGACACATTTAAGTTTGTAAATGGAAGTAAACATTGGCTTTCCATATTTATAGGAGATCTTCACTATATTAAGTGATTAAGTTAATAGTAAATATCAAGCACAAATATTCCTTAAATCATTGATTTTGTTAATTATGGATTTATGTTTAATTTAACTTAGAAGAACGAATGTGTTTTTGCCATTAGTTTTCTCATGGCTTCTTTCACCTCCTTGTTCCTGAGACTGTAAATGAGCGGGTTCAACATGGGGATCACCACTGTGTAGATCACAGAGGCCACTTTGACCTGATCAGCTGAATAGCTGGACTTGGGCATCACATATACAAACAAAACTGTCCCATAAAACAAAGTGACTGCAGTGAGATGGGAAGTGCAGGTAGAGAAGGCCTTGTTCCTTCCCTCAGTAGAGCGCATCTTCATGATTGAATGGAGGATGTATATGTAGGATACAATTATGGTAAACAAAGTGCTCATAAGGACAGATGCAGAAGAGATGGAAGGAGATATTTCAGCAATATAAAGATGGCCACAAGAAAGCTTCAGTAGTGGGAAGAGGTCACAGAAAAAATGATTGATTTTATTTGGACCACAGAAGGTCAGGTTCATGAAACAGCCTGTAAATGATGATGCATTCATGCATCCACCCAGGTAGGACGCCCCCAGTAGAAGGAAGCAGACTGTTGGGGACATTTGGGTGGAGTAGAGCAGAGGCGAGCAGATGGCCACATAGCGATCATAGGCCATGGTGGCCAGAAGGAAGCACTCTGTAGTCCCAAAAGCAACATCAGAGCCAAGCTGGGCTATACAGCCAGTGAGAGGAATAGCAGTTTTTTCTTGTAAGAAGCTGATGATCATGACCGGTGTGACTGATGTGGAGTACCCAATGTCCACAAAGGCCAGATGACTGAGGAAGAGGTACATTGGGGTGTGAAGCTGCGGGCTGCATCGGATTAAGAGGATTATGCTGGTATTTCCTACTATGGTCACTATATAAACTGCTAGAAAAACCACAAAGAGGATGGCACATAGTGTACGATTGTCAGTTAATCCCAAAATAATGAATTCTGTCACTGCTGTATAATTTCCAGTCTCCATTTATCCATTTGATGAAGCCTGTTGAAACCAGAACCAGAGGAGATTAAATTGATTGAATTGTCCCAATAACTAATATGTATTCCTAAATATAATCTTGTAATTAAATTTTTAAAATGATGAACTTTGCCTTACTTAAAGAAAGCTTTGTGCACACAAATTTTGTTTTTAAATTCAGTGAAATATTAAAATCAAAGACTCAGTTACTTTAGGATCCAATCATTTAGTTCTTACTTCTATACTATAGAGTACATCTAATCCCTATGCACAAAATACACATAAATGGATACTAACATCACCATTGATTATAGCAATATAAACTGGAAATAACTTATATGTCCATAGGAAGGCCAGATCCTGGTTCTTCCATCCCCATCCCAAACCTGCCCTTGCATTCTGTTAGTAAATACTGTCTCCATACTATGTATAGCTTCCAGATTATGTATAAACTCCAAGCTATATGTAGTTTATTGGCAAATAATGACAGAGTTAACTTAGACATCTCTTTCTTTCTGTCTTGCTCATTTTCCTGGAATAAAAGGATTTATATATTTAGTTATAATAATTGATACTAAGACTTTGTTGGAGTCTATATTCAAGTAGAAAAGGCCAAATAGGATTTTTATTGTTGTTAGGAAATAAGCATCCTAGATAATTTGCAAAGTGTCCCAGGACTTATCTCCTACACCATACCTTTTCATGTTTGTGGGATGGTATGAAGCAATAAGAAGAATCTAGCGTATGGACCAGCATTAAATAAGTGACAGGAAACACTGTGGACCTGCACTGAATACATTTTAGCTTTATCAATTCTAATAACCAATGATAGGAAAATAAGAATTGAGAACATTTGACTCACATTAAGAGGATTAGATGGAAGTATACAGCTAAGAAAGCTGGGAAGTTATACTGAAATATTAATTATCACTTGAGAACAATAATCCCATTATTCAAAATATAACATATGAACGAAGGACAGGGAGAATGTTAGCTATATTCATCCTTTCCCATGACTCTGCTCTAAAGACCAATGCATCCTTTAGAATAGTTTGCTTTTCCTTCAAGAACCTCTATTTAAAGACTCAGAAAAAAATACATGTATAACTATAAGCAACCTAACATCCTATCAAATTTTATTTAGACAGTATATATGAATCATGGTAATGGTATGCCATGGTTTGACTTCTACAAATATTGCTTCATTATTATCAGAGTCTGAATTTTTAAAATCTAAACAAAAACCTAGACCAGAAAAGAATTTTATATATTTGAAGAAAATAGATGTATGGAAGACACAATGTTTTCAAAGTTAGATACAGTTGTCAGTGCAGAAGATGAAATGATATTCACTAGTAACATGGAGTGTAGAGCCATCAAAGAGCATCAGTTTCTAGCTCTGCCTCTCGTAGTGTATGGGCCACAGGAAAATCAAAGAAATTTTTTTATCTTCTTTTGCCTTACCTGTAAAAAGGAGCTAATATACACCTCATATGATTCTTGTATTAATTTATATGCTATGGATAAAAATACCAAGCATTGTTTACAAAATAAAGAAATAAATTCTCTAAAAGTTTCCGTCAAATAATTTCTTATTTCTAAAACATACAGGAGGCGCAAGTATTTTTGTATCCTTAAAAAATACGTGCAAACTAGCAATATGTGTACTACAACACTGAGGTTAGGCTCCAAGGAATTGCTACTGCTCATCAGAGTCATATTTAAGAGTATTTTTGGTCATTTGGGATACAGCCCCAAATTGCTTACTTCATTGAAATTGCATATTAATTAGTTCACTTGTTTTGGAAAATTAACTCACAATCCAGTGGGACAGAGAACTTATGAGTATTTGTCTACAGGGACAGGGAAATAAAATATGCACATGATTATGGAAAAGTTTGTGAATGAAATGCTCTCTGAATGCTTAGAGGTTTCATTTGGTTTTAATTTATGACTTGAAAAAAAAAGCAGAAACGTGCTATAATTTAAGTAGACTTTTAGATCAAAATAAGTAACAGAACTATAGTGGTTTGTGGTACTTCTGCAATAAGGCTATGTTTAGAGGCCCAAGTTTTCATCTCATCTATGTTTAGAGATAATTTGAGTTTGTCAGAAGAGTTTAGTTTCTTCCATCTGTCCTAGAAAGACACAGTTCATTAAGGTGGTATAAGAGCACAACTGTGTCTAATGACTGACACAAATAGATGGCCATTGATTCCTTTAAAACATACCAAATCACATTTGGGAGAATTAAATTCCTTTCAAACCTGTCTTACCCCTAAAATTGGTTCATACCAATTGATTAGTACTCATAATTGAAGATCTTTTTTTTCCTTTGATGTGTAAGTCCATTGTCTATGACTTTTTTTGTATCCATGTTAATGGTCCAGTGCTAGAAATAAAATATAGACATTGTTAAATAGATGTTTGTTGAGCTGATGATAAACCATTTAAAAAGTCTTTTATGTATCAGCTACTGTGTTGTGATAAATAATCAAATGAACTCTCACATCTCTATCTTTACTCAATTATAATCATTCTTTAATTGTATGCCTCACCATGACTCTTGTCATGGAAGACTAACTTGTAATTTAGGTCTCGGTCTTAAATATAATTTGTCATTGAAACCTCCCTTGACATCTTGAACTAAGTCATATTCTTCTAGTGAAGATTATCAGAGAACCATGGAATATGTTTTACATTTATCACACTTATAATTGTATACCTACTGGTATAAATAATTGCTTAAGGTCTTTCTTGTCTGGTGTCCTATAATTACTGTAGTAGAAGGACTGCACAGCCCTTTATTCATGGCAGACTGCCATGTACATAGCAGTACAAAATGAATGAATAATCTTTTTAAATTTTTATTATTGTGGTAAGATCACTGTGTGGATCTCAGGATCTACTCTCTGAACCCAATTATTAGTGTACAATAAAGTATTCTTAACTATAGGTGTGATGTCATACAGCAGATCTCTAGAATTTATCCCTATTAATGTACCTAAAGCTACACGCCCATGGACTAGTAACTTTCCATTTTATCTACTTTCAGGCCATGGACCCATGAGTCTGTGAATTTGACTATTTTAGGTATCTTATATGAGTAGCATCATGTAGCATTTGGTCCATCTGTGACTGGCTTATTTTACTTAGCATTATATCCTCCATGACTGTCCATGCTGTTGAACATTGCAGAATCTCCTTCTTTTTAAAGGTTGATGAATATTCCATTATGTGTATGCTATTTTTCCTTTATTTTAGTCATCTGTTGATGTAGACTTAGGTGTCTTTCACATCTTGATTATTGTGAATAGTGCTGCAATGAACATCAAAGTGCTAATATTTCTTTGAAATACTTATTTCAGCTCTTCTGTATAAATACTCAAAGAAAGGTTACTGAAGCACATGGTAGTTTTATTCTTAATTTTTAAAGGAATCTCTATTCTGTTTTCTATAGTGGCTGCAGCATTTTGCATTCCTATCAACAGTGTATAAGGATTCTACATTCTCCACATCCATGAAAACACCTGTCTTCAAAAAAATAGTAGCCATCCTAACAAGAGTGAGTTGAAATCTAATTGTAGTTTTGATTTACATTTCATTTATGATTAGCAACATTGAACATCTTTTAAAACTCCATTGGCCATTTGTGTGTCTTCTTTGAAGAAATGTCCATTCAATTTCTTAGCCTATTTTAATTATTATTAAATAATTAATAATATTAATATTAAGTTAAAAGAGTGCTATATATTTTGGAAATAGCCCTTTATCAGATATATGATATACAGATATTTCCCTCATTCCATAAGGTACCTCTTCACTATGCTTGGTTTCTTTGTTCTTCAGGAACTTCTTTGTTTGATGTAATCTTATCTGTTTTAGCTTTTATTTTTACCTTTTATTGCCTGGGCTTTTGGGTTTATATCTAAGAAATTACTGCCTATAATGTCATAGATCTGTCCACCTATGATTTCTTTTATAGTTTTGGCTCTTATATTAAGTCTTTAACTCATCTTGAATTGAATTTTATTTAGTGTAAGATAAAGGCCCAATTTCATTCTTTTGTATTTAGCTATTTAGTTTTCCCACACTGTTTGATGGCAGAGAATTTCTATTCTCTACTATGTATTCATGCCACCTGTCTCAAAGACCATGTGAGTATATACGTGAGGGCTTATAAATGGAATTGCTTTCTAGTCATTTGTTATTTGTCTATCTTTATGCCAGTGCCATAGTTTTTTAATTACTGTGACTTTGAAATGTACTTTGAAGCCAAGAACTGACATTTGTTTTTCTTTCTCAAGACCATTTTCACTACTTGGAGTCTTTTATGATTCCATATGAATTTTTCAATTTATTTTTCTATTTATATAAGGATTTTCATTGGGATTTTAATAGGGATTGGTCTGAATCTATAAATCACTTTGGGCAGTACAAGTAGTATTAAGACATCTGAATACAGATGTCTTTCCATTTATTTATGTCTTCTACAGTTTTATTCACCAATGTTTTATAGGTATCAGTGTACAAGTCTTATGTTCTATGCATTTTAATGCTTTTGGGAATGAGACTGTTTTCCTAATTTCCTTTTCAAAGAATTCATTACTAGTATTCAGAAAAGGAGTTAGCTTTTTTTTTTTTCATATCCTGTAGTTTTACTGAATTCTTTTTATTTTGTTCTGTCCCTGTCACTTTCAGTCCAAGCTGGTGTTGTGTTTTGAAGACATACACTTCTTTTTTTCTTTGAAATTTGAACTCAGGCCTAACACTTGTTATGCAGGTGCTCTGCCATCTGAGCAACCACACCAGCCCTTTTTTGTGTTGTGTGTTCTTGAGATGGGTCTCATGAACTATTTACCTGGGCTGGTCCTCCATGATCCTCCTGATCTCTGTCTCCCGAGTAGCTAAACATACCATTCTTGAAAACCTTTTGGGTGTGCCATATAGCTTATAGATAGTCACACCATTTGACAAAAGGGTCCTTCAAAATCCTTCCTAGACAATTCCATCTCTATTCTTGACTTCTGCTGAGGAAGTTGAAGGAATTTATGAATCACATACCTGAACTCTTCAGCATTAGTAGAATGTTGTTCAGCCACACCCTTGCCTTCTCTCCAGAGCATGCTTTCCTAACAGTCAATCTCACAATTTTACTATCTTTTGCTATATAAACAGGCTGAGAATTTTCCAAATCATTATATTTTGTTACCCTTTACTTAATAGTTTTCCCTTTAAATTATTTATGTCCCCTCATGTTTTAGTATAATTAGTAGGCAGAGATAAGGCTGCACCTTCAATATTTGTTTGAAAATCTCCACAGCTGAATACTCAAGTTCATTGCATTACAAGTTCTGTTTTCGACTTAAGACATGACACAGCTAGGTATTGTGCCCTTATATAACAAGGATAAACTTTAGTCCTGTTTCCAAATTCACATTCCACATTCCTTCTACCAGCAGACTAGTGACTCAATTCTATGTTGTCTACAGTAAATTCACTTTAAATATATAAAGATAATAATGTAGATAGGTTAAAGGGAAAAGATGTAGCATGTCAACATTAATCAAAGGAAATCAGGAGTTCCTGTGTTAATATCAGATATTGTACATATCAATACAGAGAAAAATATTAGAAGCATAGAAGAATCTATATCATGATAAGATACCTTAAATTATGAAACTATAGAAATAAAAAATATTAAGTATTGTCAGTTCAGGACAGGTTACCATGGGAGGGACATTTTTGTGGTTATAGATGGGTAACATGAGCAATCCTTGTGGTGATGTAAACATTCTATATCCTGACTATATTACTATTCTATGACAGTATACCGGTTGTGATACTGTACTAAACTTTAGCAAAATGCAAGTGTTGGAAAAAAAACTGGATAAAGGCATTGAATATTATTATTACTTCCCATAATTTCCTATGAATCTTCAACTATTTCAAAATAAGAGGCTTAATTAAAAATAAAGATTGCACATTCTAGAAAGGCATTTAAAAAAACCCACAAGCAATTTTCAGAAAGATTTCTATTTTGAATTGAAATTGTTTTTACATCACTGTACTCTTATATTTTATTTATTTACTCTTATGAGTTCCAGTAGTTAGAATGATTTTAGCAATCCTTCAAAAATTCAATGTACACTAAAATTAATTAATAGATGTTAATATGTAACACATGCCCTTATGGATTTTCAGTGGAATTTTCACAAACAAGTAAAGTACTCGAGGGGCTATATCCCAAAAGACACTATTTCTCATAAATATAGTCTTGCTTTAGCTTGGCAATTCTTTGTCATTTGTCCTTATCATTGAGGTACATATATCCTCAGGTAATAGTTTTCCTTTTCTGTTGATATAGGAATGTCTGTTTCTTCTTGGTACTTTAGAAGTTAAGGGTTGATTATTTTAAGGTATTAATAGTTTATTCTACCTCTTCTTGTTACTATGATCATGTGTGGTATTATTATAAGCATCATCATATTCAAAATAGGAATCATGTGAAGTATATTTTACAAAACTAAGTTGTGGTGGCTATTGAATAGTGTATATAAATTGCATAAAATTCTATAGATTGTTAGTGATAAAGCTGAAACCCAATCACAGGCCTATTTGGCTCCAAAGTTCCTAGCATTTCTATTAAACATACTGCTTCCATGCCATAATAACATTCTATCATCTCTGGTTTTGTGTCATGTATATGTGTTTTCTCTGAAAGGTTAAGTTTTCTTTCAGTCCTAAACCTTAATAAAGCTACCACTTTTGTCCTGTTCAAAGACAAGAAGGTAGTACTTAGGTTAGATCAAAAAGAATTAACCTAGAAGGTAACACACACGCACAGGAAATTAATGTGTGTCAACTCCCTGTATAGCTATCCTTATCTCAACCAGCAAAAACCTTTGTTCCGTCCTATTATTGCTCATACTCTCTCTACAACAAAACTAGAGATAAGGGCAAAATAGTTTCTGCTGGGTATTGAGGGGGTGGGGGAGAGAGGGAGGGGGCAGAGTGGGTGGTAAGAGAGGGGGTGGGGGCAGGGGGGAGAAATGACCCAAGCCTTGTATGCACATATGAAAAATAAAATAAAATAAATAAAATAAAACTGAAAAAAAAGAAAGTAGTACTTAGAAGACTCTGAAGACACATGAAATCATGGTGTTCATAATAATAACTTGCTGTTTCTCAGTTAATTCACATATAACATTATTGAGGCATGTTTGTCAATTAAAAGGCAGTAAGGTGTCTGGCTGATTACATGTTCACCAATGCCATTGTGTGTGGGGGTGCATGTAAATGTGTGTGTGAGTTCAGTCTGCTTGGAACTGAATTCTTGAAAGAAAAATAGGCTGTTCTTCTGTTGATTGATCGTTATTCCTTGTAGAACACCAAAACTGACAACATGATGTTCACATGATTTGAAGGTGTTTAAAAAATTTGTGAGAATTACTGGCCATGCATCAATGAACATTTACTTTATCAAGTTCTTACATGAAATATTATGTGAAAGTATTTTCCCCTGAATTTGCTAATGAATGTCCATATTTATGCAATATACATTATAAATCTATTATAAAAATAAGTGTGCAAGTGATATTGTTTTATTCCATCCTAATATCTGCATTTTTTTCAGTGGACACCATTCCCAATAAATGGGGGCTGGAAACTACACATCTGTGACAGCATTCATAATTTTGGGGTTGACAGAAGATACAATAGTTTGTGCTATTTTATTTATTGTGTTTCTGGGAATCTACGTTGTTACCTTAATGGGAAATGTCAGCATAATCATGTTAATCAGAAGCAGTTCTCAACTTCATACCCCAATGTACCTTTTTCTCTGCCATTTGGCCTTTGTAGACATTGGGTACTCTTCATCAGTCACACCTGTCATGCTCATGGGCTTCCTCAGAAAAAGAACTTCTATCCCTGTGACTGGTTGTGTAGCCCAACTCTGTTCTGTGGTGACATTTGGGACAGCTGAGTGCTTCCTGCTGGCTGCCATGGCCTATGATCGCTATGTGGCCATCTGCTTTCCTCTGCTCTACTCCATCCACATGTCTCCCAGAGTCTGCATTCTCCTAGTGGGATCTTCCTACCTAGGTGGATGTGTGAATGCTTGGACATTTACTGGCTGCCTACTAAATCTGTCCTTTTGTGGACCAAATAAAGTCAATCACTTTTTCTGTGACTATTCACCACTTTTGAAGCTTTCTTGTTCTCATGATTTTACTTCTGAAATAATTCCAGCAATCTCTTCTGGATCCATTATTGTAGTCACAGTGTTTGTCATTTCTCTTTCTTATGTCTACATCCTTTTTTCAATCCTGAAGATGCACTCCACTGAGGGCTGTCACAAGGCTTTTTCTACCTGCACCTCCCATCTCACTGCTGTCATCCTGTTCTATGGGACCATTACATTCATCTATGTGATGCCCAGGTCCAGATACTCTACTGACCAGAACAAAGTGGTGTCTGTGTTCTACACTGTGGTGATCCCTATGTTGAACCCCCTCATCTATAGTCTCAGGAACAAGGAAGTTAAAGATACCATGAGAAAACTGATAGTCAGAACTCATTAGTAGTCCTGAAATGTCTCACTTCAATAATAAGTACTTTATGATAAGGAAACTTCTTTCAGGTGAAAGAACATGTATTAAGTAAATTTAAATTTGTATTTATAATACTCTACACATAAATTATGTTGTCCCATTCTCAAGAAAATTTTCAGTGTCAAAATAAATGTGGATTCACTATAATAGGAACATTTAGAAAAAAACAATTTTCATGTTTTCTCCTTTCTCCACCCACCATTTCATGCATCTATAAGTACAAACTTTTCCACATAATTTCTGTGTTCTTTGAAGACAGCCTTTGGAATTAAAGCTGAGGAAGCATGTAGACCCCCTTGAGTGAGAGTAATGCTGCCATTCAAGATCTCAATCTGAAAGAGACAGTCTCCATGCTATATGGAAATCTAAAGGTTGAAAACAATAGTGTACATGGCTCCTGTTACCTTTGATCTGAAGTGATCAAGGGATTCTTCTTATAGGTGAGCCTGTTCCAAACAACTCAGAAAATATCTGAAGTTCTCCCTTAGCTACTAGCTCTTCCTTAAATACAGAGTCCCTGAAGCACAGTCTCCTGGGGACTAATTGGGATGACCTGGCTCCTGTCACTATGAAGAAGTAGGAATATGTTTTTCTCAGCTTGTTTCAACTTTGAGAATTGAATGCTGCACATTTCTGTAGTATTTGAATATTTTTTTCTTATTGCGTTTGAAACTAAAAATTCTTGGTTTCTCATACATAATCTCCCTGGAAATGTTGCAACAGTCCTGAAAATGCCTTTCTGGAACCACACTAATTTTCATTTTTAGAATTAAAATTGTTTGTGTTTTTATAGCCCCTTTGATGTTTACTCATTGTCTTTTATATGTAAATATATTTTCCACAAAAAGTGTCATATGTTTAGGCACTTATTTTTCTTTAATTAAATGTAAATATCAGGTTAATCTTAATACATTTCAAATTATGTCATTTTTTTTCTATTTGTTTACCAGCAATGATTTTACTGTCTTCAATGGTAAGTTCAATTTCCTCAAGTGTTAGAAGTAATACCCATATTTCTGGACCCATGTAGTTTATTAGTAATGTAGAGTTTTGAAACTGAAAGTTTGGTTGGAGTCTCCTATATACTACTTCTCTAGCCCCTTGCAAAAAAATTTAAATATCAAATTGCCTGAATTAAATTATTTTCTTCTCAAAATACCTAGAAGTTGCTGCTCCTTCCTGAACTAATCTGATCAATGTACATTAGGGGACTCATTTAAGGTCAAGCACTTGTTTGCCTAAATGGCATGCAATGTCCATTGGGGAAACCTTATCTGTATCATGAGCGAGAAGGAGGTCATGCTTGCATCTTGGAGGCTTGTCCTATATTCAGGGAAATTTGCTGACCAGCTTGTGTGAGTGCATGTAATGAATTTGTATTTCCACTAGATTTTAGGAATGAAACAGCAAGAAAGACAAATTTTAAATATTAATTTATTTTTCTTAGAAATTATATAAAATTATACAAAGATTCCACATGTAGCTTTCTAGAAGTCAATCTCAGATTCATTGTCCTTAATATGCAATTTAGAAACCATAGCCTATTAGTGCCCCAAATGCAATGACCCAAGATGACTCTCATTGTTGTTGCATGTGATATATTTCATGGTGATGACGGGTAGTAAACTGGGTTAGATTAAATATTTGACTCATATGAAATCTTGACTTTAGTTTTTCCCCATAGATAATCTAGACCTATTTTTGATTGTGTTTCCCAGCAAACTCAACTCTCCCTGTATTTCTTAGAATGTTAAACTTGTGTAAGCACATTCATCATGATTGTGTCTTGTTTTCTAAAAAAGTTTAATTGCTTACGTAGTTACAAAGAAGGCAGAAAGATGGAGTTAACTGGTATTAAATTCTACTGGATATAGCCCCATAGAATAGGGTAAAAGGAAAGCTCAAGAGACCTTGTGAGTATATAAGGGAATGATGATTATGGTGGAGTATGGAACCTAGCCTGATATGAAGGACGGTTAGAATATGGGGTAGGAGAGTGGTAAATAGATCAATAGCTTAGAGTTCCTTGTGGAATTAAATGATTTTTGGATTTTGATTAGTAAAGTTTGAATTCAGGTTCCCGGAGATCCCCCACATTAAATTTGTCATAAAGTAGGTATCCTATTCAACCCCTGTCCAATATCTGACTAAGCCATATGTCTTTGAGATACAGATGATCTGTGTTCAATGGCCGCTTTGATGGAGATAGCATGTTTTTCATTCATTCATCCATCCATCTAGCCTATCTACCCAATTTATATGAATTAAGCATAAAAGTTATATAAGGCACAGGTGTCACAGAAGTGACTGACCCAACCTTAGTGCTCACAGGGATGATGATAGAGGTATCAGAAGAAGAAAAAAAATAAAATTTAAGTGTTAAAATGAAGATGCCTAGAAGGTGCTATGGAGGCACACAAAGAGAAATAATCTCATCTGGAAAGGCAGGATTTTGATAGAGTGCAAGCATTCTTTAGGGGTCTTGGGTAGGATAGTTTTCACATTGATCTCAGAATACTCTTCTCTAGACTTTCCCTCACCAAAATTAGTCTGTATATTACCATTGCTGAGTGCCCAATCTGTCAACAGAATATTTCAATTAGACCATACCACACCTCCATTACAGATCCAACTGCTCATCTGATAGAAGATTGATCCAACCTGTTGAAGGCTTTGTAATGGTGCTAGTTGAGAGATCGCACCTGTAAGTTTGGGTGTTGTCCTTCAGAATTATGAATATACCATAAACAAAAGTATGAACCAGAAAGCATTGTTCCACTTTCAAAGGGGTGGAAGGAGGAGTGGACTGTTTTACACTAAATAATATACTGTATTAGTTTTGTCAGTGCTATAATAAATTACTATAATTCAGTGGCTTGAAGTAATGCTAACTTACTACTTATAGTTCAGGAGGTCAGAAGTCCAATATGGATCTCACTGGGCTAAAATAAAGGAATTTTCAGGATTGGGCTTCTTCTGGGGACTTTAGGAACAATTTCCTTGGTTTTTCAAGATCAGCAAGTCTTGGCTTGTTGTTTGGCTTGAGTCCTTCTTTCTGTATATTTAAAGTCAGCAAGGTTGGCTCTCCAGTATCTTTCTTTTGTAATCATATCTTCTCTTGACCAACACTCTTCCACCATCCTCTTCTACCTTTTAAGGGTACTTGTGGTTAAATTGGGCTTACTGGCTTATCTACTTTTTTCAGATGAATAGAAAGCTTAATGTCATCTGAAAACTTAATCCCTGTTTCCAATAGCCTAGCTTATTCCCATCAATGGGTTTACTTCTGGGACATCTTTGGGGGAATCATAGACTACATTAACTAAAGGACATTTTATTTTCCAGAAATTATTACCTTCCTTCTAAATACTTGGGGCAATTTATCAATAACTAGAGTTCAACCCTTCTTACATGTTTCTTTTATGCAAAAATTACTTAATGTAAATTGCACAAATCTTAACTGCATAATTATTAGCTACTGAAAAGTGCAGACACCTGTGTAAGTCAAGCACCTATCATGATAGGAGTCGTTGCCATCCACCTAGAAAGCTCCCCAATAAGCCTCTCTAGTTCAACTTCAATCCACCATGCAGAACTATCCATTAATTTGAATAATTTTTTCATTTTTGCATAATTCTAAATTTTTATACAAGTGGAGTCAAGTAGTATGCCTTCTTTTGTAAGTGAGCATTTTTGAAATTTAAACATTGTTTTATGTTTCAGTAATTTACTACCCTTGGTTGATGATATGCATTTCATGTATGAATATACCAGATTGTTTGACCATTCTTGTATGAATGGAAAACTGAGTTGTTTCCATTTTGTGACTAAGAATAAAGCTGTCATTGAATACAAATTAATGAAAAAAATAGAAATTCAGTAGAGAAAACCAATTGGGTCTCAAGCTGTTTCTTTTGAAATTATCATCAAAATTTGCAAGCTTTAGCTAAATTTTCCAAGTAAAAACAAAACTCAAATTTCTAGGATCAGAAATTAAAGAAAAGACATTATCATTAACTTTACTGAAAATAAAATGGAGTATGAAGAAGTAACAGAAAATAAATGAATACTTACATAAAGTAAAAATATATAGAGAGAAGAATACCAAAGTTAACAATCTTAATAGACCTAATGTAAAGAGCTAAAAGTACTAATAAAAAACTACCATAAAGTAAAGCTCAAGCCCAGACGTCTTTATTGATAATTTATACTGAACATTAAAGAATTAATGCAAATTCTTCACAAGTTCTTCTAAAAATTAGAAGTGGAAAATGGATGTTTTTCCCCTAAGATCAGACACAAGATGTCTAGACTCATTCCCTCTATTCTACATTGTACAGGAAGTTCTGACCAGGACATTTAGGCAAAAAAGTATCCACAGAAAAAAAGGAAGAAATAAAACTATCTGTATTTTTAATGACATGATCTTGTATAGAAAATTATAGATGTCCCATTAATAAACTAAAGTCTAATAAATGAGTTAAGCAATGTTGCAGGCTACATTAAAAACATGGTAATTCCACAAATTTATTAGTTTATAAATAATCCAAAAGTGAAATTAAGAAAAAAATTAATTTATAGGATAAAAAAGTGAAATAGGAACAAATTTAACAGTGTTGAAAAATGAAAGAATACCTAAATAAATGGAAAATATCCCATGATCATGGATTACAAGACTTAATATTATAAGATGGTAAAACCTCACAAATTCATGTATACAATCAACACTATATCTCTTAGCATACCAGCTATTTTCCTTATACTGACAACCTCTTTCTAAAATTCATATGGAATTGCAAGTGATCCAGAGTTTCCAAATTATCTTGAAAGAGAAGGACAAATTTAGAGGAGTCATACTTCCCAATTTTTGAACTTACTGCAAATCAATAGCTCAAGACTGTGTGTATTGGCCTATGGTTAGATACGTACATCAGTAGAATAGAACTGAGAATTAAGAATTAAATCCATGTGTCTATGGTCAGTACATTTTTAAAAGGTGCTAAAACCACCCAATGTGTAATGAGAAGCACTTTCAACAACTGTGTTAGGTCAATTAGATGTCCACACGCAAAAGAATGAAGTTGAACCCTTGCCTCATACAATATACAAAAATTAACGCAAAATGGAGGAACAAATAAATGTAAAGTTTAATACTATAAAACTCAGAAAAAAGCAGGGGATAAATTTTCATTGATTTTCATGATTCTTCTTTTTCATATATGCCTTTTCTCTTTCCCTAGCTCCTTTCTTGATTCCTTCCTTTTTCCCTACCTCTTTCTTTTCTCCATCAACTTTCTTGTTTCCTTCTACTCCATTGCAGCCTATCTTCCTGCTTTCCTACTTCATTATTCTGAGGCATCCAAGTCTGGAGGGGGACAAGAACATGTAAACAAACTCTGTGCCATGAAAGGAGACAAAGAGATGCAGAAAAGACCTGGAGGAAGACATTATCAATGTCAGTGAAGTATGAATTGTGGCTACTATGTCATTCATGGAAAAATACAAAATCTGTGCATGAAAACATATAATAATGGCTTCTGATTGACCCTCCAAGCAACCAAGTAAACTTCTTCAATCTCTGTTATTCTTTGTGGAAGTCTTTCTATCTCTAGAGCCAGGTGAGCTCCAGGTCTGTGCAAGTAATTCTTTCACTTGTTGTAGGTCACCTGTTCTCTTGAAACTTCTAGAAAAAAAATTGTTCTTCCATATACAGTTTGAACTTTAGTTTTTTTGGAGAGTGATATTTCTGTTATTCTGAAATTACAGTGATACAACTTGCAAAGAATGCTTGCCTATAACTTACCTGTTTGAATGTTACACTATTTCACTTAATTAAATATACATAAATTTAACACACATTAAATATACATAAATACAACACACTTCCAAGGCTTAGTGAAATGTTTTACAATAATGGTATAATAAATAAAACGTCTACTTTCACGCCAAAGATATTATATGACCAAAATTTTCATTCTGAATCCATACTTTTATATATAAAATAAAGAAATGAAACATCAGAGTTCTACCAAGTGATTCATTTTCTTCATAATTGTGCTTATTTAGGCTTTTGAGAACTGGATCTTGATGCATATTTTTTAAAATGCTTTGGCTACCAAATTTAGTCTTAAAATAACCAATTAAATTATAAGTTAAAAATATAATATTGGCCATTTTCCTGACAAAAGATTTCCTTCATTGATACCAGTATTATATAGCTGTGAAATAATGCCATTATCCTCAGAGGCCCTTATGGACCATCCATTTTCTTTTTCTTATTTAAAGAATTTGTCACAGGACTCTCAGTCCTTCTTCACAACTCAGTCCTTTAATCCTGACACAGAATGGGTAGCAACACTCACCATGTGGACAATTATTAGTCTATGTGACTTCAAAATTTTTCAACTTCTTCACCGGACCTAATTCTTCCACAACCTACTTGAGAAGCTCACAGTGTTTTCAGTCAGATTGCAGTTACACATACCACCTTCCTTCTCTGCGGATTTCATAAATTAGATGCTATATATAGTTACCTATGCTCTTACTGAATTTTATTAGCAATAGATTTATTTGTTTTGTTGAGACTGGAATAAGTTAACTATGCAATCAATCATCTAGTTTCTAATTCTTTCTTGGGGAATAGATTTTGACAGATTTTTCTACAATTCTCTTAGTGTATTAAAATACCTAATTCTTTTGGGGTCACTTCTGTCTGTTTACTCTTTCAGACATTTATTCATTCCAATCTTGTTTGAATAGAGTCAAACAAAATATTTCTTTAAATTCTTTGCAATTTCTCTGCATTATGGTCATTGTCTCAGCTCAACTCTAAATTTTTGTTTGTGCTTTGTCCTTTTTTTTCATTATAGTGATCTTTCTACTTCCCTCCTCTCTTTCATTCTTTTTCCTTTTTATTCAGCATGATTTTTTTCTTTCCACAAGGCAACCAGTGTTATGAAAATACAGTGTTTCAAAACTATGCTTTCTTATGTTTATTACATAAATATATATGTGAGTTTCTATACATATGTATGTATATATATGCACATATAAATGTATATGATGTTTTAATTTTTTATTAGCATATATTAATTACACAAAGGGATTTCATTGTGATATTTTCATACATGCATATAATTTGATAAAATTCCTTCCCTCTTAATATTGTATAATCCCATCTAGTTTTATAGAAGGAAGAAGTGAGACTAGAATGAATCAGGCAATAAGACAACACTTTAATTTCTTTGTACACTAAGTGATGATTTCTATTGGAAGTACTCTACTTTTCTACATTTATTTACCAACACTGTGTCTTCAAACGTTCTTCTAAGGGCTCTTCTATTTACCACTTGAGGGAAAAAACCTAATGGTGCTGCCCAAGACTTTCCTGAGGGCTGTCTTCATTTCTTTGTTCCTTAGACTATAAACGATGGGATTAAGTAGAGGTGTCAGCACTGTGTATGTCACAGCCATCAGTGTATCTTCACTGAATGAGTCACTGTTCTTGGGCCTCAAATAGACAAAGCAAGCAAATCCATAATGAATAAACACCACAGTGAAGTGAGAAGAGCAAGTTGAAAAGGTCTTATACCTTCCCTTTGCAGATGGCATCTTCACAACTATAGACACAATAAAGACATAGGAAATCATGATTAAAATAAAGCTGCCCACCAACACAAAGGAAGTGAATATAAGGAGAACCACTTTCTGAAAAAAAGTATAATTACAGGCAAGGGAGACCACAGGTGCAATGTCACAAAAAAAGTGCTGAATAATGTTGGAGTTGCAAAAAGACAAGTTGAAAACTATGATGACAATGCACAAAGAAACAAAAAACCCAACCACACAAGAGGACACCATGAGCTGAAAGCAGATCTTCCTTGTCATCAAGACTGGATAATGCAGTGGGCTGTGGATGGCAGAGTAACGGTCGTAAGACATGGCAGACAAGATGAAACAGTTATTAGCTGCCAAACCAAAGAAGAAAAACATCTGTGTGGCACACTCAGGAAGAGAAATGGTCTTACTCTCAGACAGCAAGTCCACTAACATGCGGGGGAGGATTACCATAGTGGTGCAGGTTTCTGAAAAGGACAGGCCAAAGAGGAAATAGTACATGGGGGTGTGAAGGTTGTGACTCAGCTTGATGGCCACCATTATGGACACATTTGCAACCAGGATGGTCACATGGGAGAAGAAAATCACAACAAGGAGTAGATTCCGCAATTGTGGAAAACTGGAAAACCCCCACAGAAGAAATGTGCTCACTGCAGTGTGATTGCTCATCCCCCTGGTAGCAGCAAGTTTAACTCACGGGTGAATATGTGTTTGAAGTCAAGACTGAGTTAGTAAAGTTCAGTGACATCAGTTGGCTTTTCATAAATGGCCCCTGGGTAAGGGCTAGACAACTCTTAATGAAAGAGCTTGAAACAAAATAGTTAAAATGCACCTGGCTGAATTCAACATCAGAACTAAGTGTAAAAAGGGAGAAGATTCTAGTAGACAAATTTTAAATGACATATAGAGTTTCAAATGTCTTCTAGAAATTCTTTTATTTGTTTTCCCATTCTCTGTTGTCAAAATCCACCTGAGGAAAAGGCGGATCACCTACAGGAAGATAAGGAATAACATTTGTGAAACTTGGCATACAAAAGGGCTTTAAAGTGTTGGCTGAATCTATAACAACTGAAGGAGACATAGGAAATTTTTCTGTATAGTTTCCAAACATTTTTTTAAATCTTTGTATCAAAAACTAACAAGTAACAATAAAAAAGTCCACCTGTCTCCCATGTGCTGCCCAGAATATAGCAGCTATGTGACTAAAAGTTATAACAATTTGTAGCTACAATACATGAATTTACCTGGTAGAAATTTGTACTGGATTTTAATTCAAACAATAAGACCAGAAAGTGTTCAATAATTCTTGCCCATGTAGGTGTAGCTGGGAATCCAGAGAGTTAAGGAGGGATTAACCAAGTCCTGGATATATTTGTGTCTTAATGTCCTTGTTAATTCCTGAGTTTTCAGAAAAACATACAGGGTATTTTCTAACTGATGTTCTGGTGAGAAATGTTGCTTTGAAGCACAGGTGCAGTAAGAATTAACTCAAGTTCTTCAGGCCATTTTATCCAGTCATATTTCATTTCCACTGGTTCCTAAAATATCCACTCTCTGTAAGATGACAGCATTAAATAACTGGGATACTTTCCACACAATATTGGGTTCAACTTTTGGCAGTTTTCAGGGAAAGAAAGGAAACAGTCATAAGACATGGATATAGGTCAGATGATTGGGGAAAGAAAGAAAGCTGTACTGGAAGGGCTTTTGTAGGATCCACAAAGGTTCGCCAATGAAGATGAAAAATATCTTTGAGCCAGGCATTGCAGCATGTCACTGTCACTCTGGTTATGTGGGAGGCTGAGGCAGCAGGCTTACTTGAGACAAGGAGCTCAGAATTAGCCTGGGTGACAAAGAAAGACTCTGTCTGTGGAGAAAGGAAAGGAAGAAAAAAGAAAAAGAGAGTGGGAGAAAGAATAAAAGAGGGAGAGGGAGGGAGGGAAGGAAAGAAATATAGAGGGAGATGTAGGGAGGAAGGAAGGGAGAGAAGGAGGAAAAGAGGGAGAAAGACGGGGGAGGGAGAGAAAGAGAGGAAAGAAGGGAAGGACAGATGGGAAGATGTAGAGAGGGAAAGAAAGAAAGGATGGAAAGAAGTAAGGAAAGAAGGGAGGGAGGGAGGGAGGGAGGGAAAGAGGATGTGCTAAGTTAGTGAATTCTTATGTTTTTACACTTGATTATATCGTGATATTTTAATATATCCAATTCCTGTAATAGTCAGGGCACAGATTTTATCATTTTGCAACCTAACCTGGTAAATTTGTCATGAGAGTTTAATGAATCTATGTGCTTCCATCTTCCCTAGAAAACCTACACTTTTTTCTTAGGTGCACTGACTCATTCTTCCAAACTATATTGTTCTATTTATTTAGTGTTTATTTAATTTGGACATGTACTAAAGTTGCTTTCTGTGTCCCTCAGTGATTTTTATGTATATTATTTAATACTAATTGATTAATGAGTAAAGTGTATTTTCCCTTGTCCAAAACAAAAGAAAACCAACACCAATAAACACCTGAAAATTCTAGGAGTGATTTCTTAAACAAAGTCAAAATAAAAGAATGTTGCATTCTGGTCTAGACAATATTTCATTTTCTTCAGCATTATATCAGACATTGACATAACTGGTTGTCTACTAAGTACATAATGAGATCACCACATAATGAGGGAAGCATTCTAAGAGTTATATGTCCTTGCTCAAAACTCGTCTCAAATTTTGGTAGATATGTTCAAGAGGAGGAAATTGAAACTGAGAAATTGAAACATCTAGGTTTCAAAACTTTCAATGAAATTCTGTTGCTTCCTTTTTCTATTTGTGTTGATAAGTACATGAGATCCTATGTACTCAGGATAACTAGTAATAGGGAGTACATCAATATGAAATTATTACATTATTTCTGGTCAGCCTCATAGAAGCAAGATTTGAAAGAGAGGTTTTCTGGCCCAGGATTTTTTGATGAATTCACCCTTCATGGGCTGTATCACTTCCATACACTGAAAGACACATAATTAATTTATTTCCCTGAAAATCCCATATCCCAGTTTTACTGAGTCCTTACTCTTATAGGGAGATGTATGAGATTTAGTTTGACACATTTTTTGAGACAGTTACAAGACCTACAGGAATTTGAGGCTGCTTCTTGGTTTTAAGCCATTTTGCAGAATTTTTTGTCCTCTCACCACTTGAAAAGTCAGAAGACATAACCAGTCTACTTATACCAGCCTGTGGCTGCATTCTCCACCATACTGAACTAGAGGATTTTCTGGCAGCTACAACAAATCTCTGCTCATTGGGCAAAGTTCATTGGTAGGAACATTGTAACTAATTTTTACCAAGTCTTTGGGAAAGTGTGCTTAATTTTCTTTCAAACTAACCAGAATAAAAGTTAGCTTTGATTCAGCCTTTCTTCAGTGTTTGAAATAATTATTGATATTTTAATCATCTGTAACATAAAGGGATATGTTCTACTGTGTTGCAGGTGGGAAAAATGTAACAAAATTAACATAAATTAGAAACTCATGCAGTTCATGTTTTTTTTTTTGGTTGTTGATGGCTTTTCAGGTTTCATATATATATTTATGGAATCAAATGGTCATACTTAGTGGCCAAAGGAAAAACAGGGAGAAACAAAAGAAGAATCTAGTTGGAAATGATTCAGAATGAAATTAAACCATGGGTGAAACTGTAGAAACTGCAGAGTCTCTTTATGCATACATATATACTCATATTTTTATACAATTCTTTTTCACTTTTTTTTGGTAGGACTGGAGTTTGAACTCAGGGCCTTGTACTTTCTAGGCAAATACTCTACCACTTGAACCTCACATACAGTCCTTTTTGCTCTAGTTATCTTTTAGCCAGACCTGGAGACTGCCCAGAGCTGGGTCTCAGATGGTTATCCTCCTACCTCCACCTCTTGGAAAGCTGGGACCACAGGTATATGCCATCACACCTGACTTGACTTTTGAGACAGGGTCTTTTTTGTATGTTTGATTGTTTTTGTTGAATGTATATACTTTACATATATTTTTTTCTTTATTCATTAATTCATATGTGCATACATTGTTTGGGCCATCGCTTCCAGGCAGAACCTGTTCTGGCCTTTTCTCCAATTTTGTTGAAGAGAAGACATAAGCAATAATAAGAAAAACATAGCATTTTTGCTAGTTGAGATAAGGATAACTATATAGAGAGACAGGGTCCTGTTAACTTTTTTTTACCCAGGCTGGCCTTCAGTGGAAATCCATCCATCTCCACCTCTCGTGGACCTGGAATTACAGTCACATTCCATTATACCTGGCCCTTCTTAATTCTTTTGATACTATGAAATCACCTAACTAGACTTGAGATTAGTCCTGGAATTACACTGGAATCTATTCTTTAATTTGATAGGGAATTCAACAGAGTTAGAGAAGCCTATATTCAAATCCAAAATCTACTTCTATTGCATATATATATGTAAGTAATTTATTCTTCCTTATAAGTATTTTCCACCCTACAACTACATCTCTTTTGGGGGGGTAAGGCTAAAATGTTGCACATACAGACCTATCATATAAATTGTCAATATTCACTAGTTCCATTCCCATTTGCTAAAACATCACCTGGTTTATTTTAGTTGGTAAGCACTTTCCCTTACCAGTACTTATCAATAGTTGCCTGATCACAAAATATCTCCAATGTTGTGCCAAATTCTGCTTGCTCTGCCCAAGTCAATTTCCATTGGCATATTTTGCTTTAATTTGGAGTTTGCATTCCTATTCTTGGTTCGTATCTTTCCAAGTCCCTCTCATCATTGTCTGTATGCACCTATGTCAGGAATAGGAAGACCACTGCAGCACCTACCTCCAGTCCAATTGTGCCCTTAGCTTGCTCAGTACATTCTGTCTGTTAGGATCCACATATGCATCACTATTTCTGGATATAGAAAAAATACTTATGATAGATAGAAAAATAAAATAAAATTCCTACCTTATACCAAAGAGGAATGACTTTTAATCTCTTCAAAACAAGAACAAAATTAAGGAGTACAGACAGTTTGAAGCTAATGCAGGTTTCTGCAGTTCTTTCTGTAAAATCATATAGGAATACATTTTTAAGCCATTTAGCCTTGTGAATGTCTGTGATGAATTCACCTTCTGAATGAAATTGTGAATTTTCTTATGACAATAGGGTAGTGTCTTTTCTATTCCTATGACTGGAGCTAAGTTTGATGCACACCCAATGAGGGTTCAAAGGCCACCTGAGACCATGACCCCTGGACATTACTTAGAATTTCTTCCTTCCCACCAAGAAGATTGTCCTCTGTGGACCTAGAACTCCTTGTGATGCCCACAAAGCATTGTTTTATACTGATATAACATCATGATTTAGTTTATTATTATTTATCTGAACAATTAAGCAGTTGGAATTCTACTTGCTCAAATATATTTGGAACATGGAAGATTCTCTCAATACTATTCATGTTATCATTCTGAAAATTTGCCAAAGCGTATGAGCTTTATGTCCTAAACACAAAACTAGGAAAAGGACCTTTGAACCTGAGCCTAAGGCCTTAGCCATAAGAAAGTTGGAAGAGAAAATAAATACACAGAATGATTGTTGTGATTGCTTTCTCATGAGAAAATTCTTACATAGAAGTCCTTGTAGAAATAGAAAATCCACTGCAACCCAAATCCCCCAAATACTGCATGGCTGCTCAGAAAGTTTTTACAATATTTTATTGTGAATATTTTAAAACATAAAGCCACGTTGCAACAATTATACTGTGCACATCTGTATATTCAATACCTATATTTTCTCCAAGTACCATTGCATGAGAACTACTCTCAAATTTAGTGTATTTAAACAATTGTAATGTATTCATAAACCCATGGTGCATAAAGAAGGAATAACAGATGTATTGAACATCCTGTTTACTCTCATGTCTACTGGCAATGATGGCTGATCTCTGAAACCTGAAATGGAGTGTTTGCCTCTCTTTCTGGGCATAGTGACGATACCATGAGTGAGTACCCACGGGAGTCTTGTAGATACTGAATTCCTTTTTATGTCCTTTCTGTTTGCACTGAATTTTTTTTATTTCACCCTTAAAGTTCTGCCCAGGCTCTATGAGAGGGAAATACATTTCATTTCTTGAAGTGATGGTGACAAAGTTCTGGGAAAGCTTGTGGGACTGGATTACAGATGTCACCATTTTTGGAAAATATATTATGCCATCTATTAATACTTTGTAATATTTGCTTTATCACTTTTTTCTGTGCTCTTTTATATTTCCATTAAAGTATTATATTTTATAAATGTGTCAAAAGAAATTTCAGGTATCCATACACTTTCCCATAAACACTTCTGCATACAAATCAATAATGAGAGCTTATTATTTTTATATGTTTTATTCTTTGAAGTTTAATGCAAATTCACATAAAGTAAAATATATAACTCTTCTGTGCATGATAGTTATGTATTGGAAAATGCATAAACCTATGTAATTCAAGTGCTTCTCATCCTATAGAACATTGAATCAGCCCAGGAACTTCTCCCATAGCCCTCTCCAGTCAGTACTGACTCCCACTATGCAGAGGTACTCTTGGTTCTGGCTATTTTTCAACATTGCTTAGTTGTGCAGGTTCTAGAATTTCATATACATGGAGCGATACAGTATATACCTTTTTACTGGTGGCACTGGGGTTTGAACTCAGGACCTTGTGCTTGTTAAGTAGGCACTCTACCTCTTGAGTCATACACCTAGACCTTTTTTGCTTTAGTTTATTTTTTTGAACAGGATTTCATGCTTTTTGCACAGGATCCAACCTTGGACCACAATTCTCTGACCTATGCCTTCCACATAGCTAGGATTACAGTGTGAACCACCACACCCAGCTTATTAATTGAGATGAAGTCTCACTAACTTTTTACCTGGGCTGGTCTTGAACTGTATTCATCCTGATCTTTGAGTATAATGTTTTTGAAATGTATCCATCTGGTTGAGTGTGTCAATAGTTATGCTCTTCATTGAGTAATAGCATTCCATTGTGTGGTTATGCTAGATTGGTTAACCGTACTTCTACTAATGGCAATCTGGAGTGTTTCCAGTTTGTATTTGTAAAGATTAGAGCTAGTATTACAGTGAAAATTAATATACTAGAGACTAAAACAACAGTGGAAAAAGTCAGTGAAACCAAAAGCTGGTTCTTTGAAAAGATTATCAAAACTGACAAGATGTTAGCTAGATTGATCAGGAAAAAAAGAGAGGACTCGAATAGCTAGCATAAGAATGAAACCAGTGATGTTTCTGCAATCTGCCTGAAATAAAAAGACTGTAAACAAATACTATGAACAGTTTATATCAAGAAGTTAGTTTAGATAAAATGTGTAAATTCTTCAAAATCTACAAGTTACCAAAACTGACTCAAGAAGAATTAGCTTGGATGGCTTGTACCAAGTAATAAGTCTGAATTAATATTAAAAAAAAAAACAACTCTCCAGAAAAAAAACTCATGCTCAAATAGTTTCACTGCCAATTTTTGCAAAGCATTTAAAGAAGGTTTACATAAATTTTTCACAAAATCATGCAAGAAATAAAAGAGAAATGACCCTTCTCAATCCATCATTCAAGACCATATTTCTCCTATACAAAAAAAACCATACAATTACATCACAAGAAAGAAATTACAGATCACTATATCTTATGAAAATGTATACAAAACTTATCAACCAGCCAGGCCCCAGTAGATCACATTCATAATCCTAGCTACTTACGAGACTTATATTGGGAGGATTGCAGTTCCAAGACAGCCTGAGCAAAAATGCTTTTGAGAACCTCCATCTCAATAGAAAAAAAACTGGGCATGGTGGCATATTCTCATCACCCCAACAACGGTGGGGAGAAAAAAATAAGAAGACGGCTGTCCAGGCCAACCTGGGCAAAAAATAAGCCCCTATCTCTAAAATTACCAGAGCAAAAAAGGGCTGGAGACAAGCCTCAAATGGTAGAGTGACTTCTTAGCAAGAGCAAGGCCCTGAGTTAAAATCCCAGTACCACCAAAAATATTATCAGGTCTTTCTCATTCTTTCTCTAGATATGACCTACATTAAGTCTATTGAAAATTTATTTCCTAATAAACTTTACTATACTTCAACTACAAAAACAAATCAACAAAATACTAGCAAATGTCAAACAGCAATGCAAAAAAAATGGTTATACACATGACTAAATGGGTTTTATTGCAGGGAAGCAAAATTGGTTTACCATTTGAAAGTTAATGATACATACAATATAAATGTAACAAAAAAGCGTATGATAATCTCAATAAAAACAGAAGAAGTATTTGACAAAATGTAACACACAGTTATTTATTTGTTTTGGTACTGGCATTGAACACCATGACCTCACACTAGCTACATAAGGTCTCTATCACTGAGCTATATCCCCAACCCTTTTTAAAATTTTTATTTTAAGACAGGGTCTCACTAAGTTGTCCGGGCTGGCCTTGAAAATGTGATTCTCCTGCCTCAGACTTCTAAGTATGTGGAATTACAGGTGCAACATCATACTCAGCTAACACACAATCATGATAGAAACACTCAAAAATTATTAAAATAAAGGAATATTTCCTCTATGAAAGCTAACATCATATGTAGTAGTCACAGACTAGACATTTCCCCTAGAATATAAAGAAAAAGATAAGGATGTCTGCTATTGCTTCTTCTATTCAACATTGTACTGGAAGAAGCTAGTACAATTATCAAGAACAAAAAAAAGCATCCAGAGCAGAAAAAAGGAAGCAAAATTATCTCTATTTGTATATGACATAATTTCATGAATAGAAAACAGATACAGAAAAGTTTAGGAGGGGGTGGGGGCAGGGGGGAGAAATGAACCAAGCCCTGTATGCACATATAAATAATAAAAGAAAAATGGAAAAAAAAAGAAAAGTTTAGAAATCCATTATAAAATTAGGGGGATAAACAATTCCAACAAGTTTATGAGATACAATGATATTTCTTTGTACTAGCCATGAGAAATCTAAATCTAAATGCTTCCGGGCCAACTGGATATCCACATTCAAAAGACTGAGGTTGGACCCTTACTTCAGACCATATACAAAATTAACCCAAGTGGAGCAAAGATCGTGATATAAAATCTAGAACCACAAAACTTACAGGAGAACATGGGGAAAGTCTTCATGATCTCAGATTAATCAATGGATTAAAAAAGAAAAATATATATAAATTAGACCTCATTAAAATCTAAAACATAACATTTGCAATTCAAGAGAAACTATAAAGTGAAGATACAATCTGAGTGATGGGAGAAAGTATTTGCACATAACGTATCTGATTATGGATGTATATTTACAATTATAAAATCACTTAAAGTTATACATAAGTAGCCCAATTAAAGCAGGAGAAAGGATTTAAAAATGTATTTCTCCAAATTAGACATACAAATAACTAATAAGTGAATAAAAAGTTGCTTGACTTCATTTGTTACTAGGGAAATGCAATTCAAACCCACAATAATACACTGCTCATACCACTATAACCATGTGCCCAATGCAATCTCAAAATTTCTCAACCATCATACATTATCTACTACCTGGCCACCAGCAGACCACAGCACCTTTCACCATTGTGAGATTCATAAATCAGAAGCTATTATCTTTTTGATGTAAATGAATTTAAAAGCATTGAAATTATCTTTCCTTGAGAATTTAAACCAATTAATTATTAAACCATCTGGTCTAATGCTCTTGGGTAGAGGGAAGTAGGAAGAAAGCACTTTGACAGATTTCTCAAAATTTTTCATAGTATTTGTATGTTTAAAAAGTATATATTGCTTTTCCTGGTCATTTATTTGTCTCATTAGAATTCATGCGCTCTAATTTTCAAAAATGTTTCAATAGAGTTGAAGAAATCATTCTCTTAAGTATACTTTAATATTCTCAGTATTATGATCATACCTTATTCTCAATTCTAATTTGGTATATCTGTACTTTCTTTTTCATTTTAAATTAATTCCACTGTAATCATTTTTTGTACTTATTTTCTCTTCCTTCCACCCTTTCTCCATTTTCTCTTTATTCTTCCCTCCATTCTTTTTTTTCTTGATTGCTTTCCTTACCTTTTCCTCTCAGTACAACTTTATTTTTCCTGAAAGCAACTACCATCATGATGTTTCAAACCATTTAATGTTTACTGCATGTATATGTATATACACACATGCACACACGTTATAGCATTTAAAAACATTTTAAAACTTCATGCTATTTGTAGTAGGAAAATTGTAAGTCCACAATGAATTAGGCAATTAGGCAACACTTCAATTGCTTTATACTCAAAGTGATGATTTATATAGGATGTATTCCACTTTTATTTATCAATGTTCAGTTTTTTTAATGTTTGGAGCTTTTTTATTTGTCAACTGAGGGAAATTTTTAATTACACTGCCTAGGACTTTCCTAAGGGCTGTCTGCATTTCTTTCTTCCTTAGACTGTAAGTGGTGGGATTAAGCAGAGGTGTCAGCACTGTGTATGTCACAGCCAACAACATGTCTTCATAGAAAGCATCACTGTCCTTGGACCTGAAGTAGACAAAGCTAGCAAATCCATAGTGCAAAGACACAACTGTGAGGTGAGAGGAACAAGTTAAAAAGGCCTTGTACCTCCCCTTTGCAGAAGGCATCTTAACAACTATAGATACAATGAAAACATAGGGAATGATGATTAAAATAAAGCTGCCCACTAATACAAAGGTAGAGAGCATAAAAATAGCCATTTCATGATGTGAAGTGTAACCACAAGCAAGGTGAACTACAGGTGAAATGTCACAGAAGAAGTGTTGGATATTGTTGGAATCACAAAAAGACAAGTTGAAAACAGTCATGGTGATGCACAGAGAAATCAGGAACCCAACCACACAAGAGGCCGCCATGAGCTTAAAGCAGATCTTCCTTATCATCAGGGTGTGATAATGCAGTGGGCTGAGGATGGCAAAGTAACGGTCGTAAGACATGGCAGCCATGATGAAGCAGTTATTAGCTGCCAAACCAAAGAAGAAAAACATCTGTGTGGCACACTCAGGAAGAGAAATGGTCTTGCTCTCAGATAGTAAGTCCACTAACACGTGGGGGAGGATTACCATAGTGGTGCAGGTTTCTGAAAAGGACAGGCCAAAGAGGAAATAGTACATGGGGGTGTGAAGGTTGTGACTCAGCTTGATGGCCACCATTATGGATACATTTGCAACCAGGATGGTCACATGGGAGAAGAAAATCACAACAAAGAGTAGATTCTGCAATTGTGGGAAACTGGAAAATCCCCACAGAAGAAATGTGCTCACTGCAGTGTGATTGCTCATCCTCCTGGTAGAAATTTTACCATAAACACAAGTGTGTATGTGCTAGAGATCAAGACTCTGCAATGATAGTAAAGAGGTTCTTCTGCATTGATGTTCCTGGATTTTAATCAAGGGCAAATGTATGACAACTCAAGGAAAGAATCTGAAAAAGGGAGTTAAATGCACCTGGCTGAAGTCAAGTTTGGGAGTCTAAGTGATAAAGAAAACAATTCTAATGTGAGACTCTGTATAAACACCATAGAGTGGGTCCAAATATCTTCTTGTATTCTAGTCACAAAAGTATTCTTCATTTCTCTTTTCTCCATTCTGAACCTGTAAGGAGAAGCATAATACAAATACAATTCTCACTTTCAAATGCTATTTTTATTATAATTGTACCCTGGAACTCAGGAGTACTTAGTAAACTCTTAGTGGAATGAATAAAATAATTTACTTTAAAATTAATATAACATTTAGAAATTCTGGAGAGATCAGTAAAAATTCCCAAAAGAATTTTCACATTTCAGTGCAAACTTATCTTCACCTGTGCACTCCACAATATAGTAACCAAGAATGATATTTTGTGACAATAACAAGGATAGATAAAATATTTCAGCATTTTGTAAACTCTGGGTTACAAAATTACAAATTATTTGGCAAAATTGAAGCTTGATGTAAAAAAAATTCGTTCTTAATTTAATACTTCTTAAAAACATAACAATATTCTTTAAATTATTAAGATTTCTCATTGAAGTTCTTTCCCAAGAACATAAGGTAATATAATAGACTAACCTGGAGGTAATATGATCTTGAAGATTCTGTCTCATTCCAGATTGACAAATTTTGGTCTTGATGTTCTGATAAACTTTTAAGTTTTTAGCAAAGCCTCCAGTATGTCTTGTAGCTGGTATATGTCAATGGTTTGCCTTGTAGTACAGATCTGAAAATAATCTACTTAAGTTCCTCAGAACAATGTTACAAGCCATATTGATTGTTCATTAAACATACAATCCATGGAAGAAATTAGGGCAGAAAAGTGATATGAAGACTTTTCATAAAATTTTGATATGTAACTTCTTTTACTGTGAAGGGAAAGAAAAATAATAAGAAAATATGTGGAAAATAAACCGGCGGGTGAGATAGATTCTGACTAGAAATTTTTCTGTAGGATTTACAAAGATTAAAAGAATATGAAAAGCAAACTACATTTTTGCTTGACAAGTTGTTGTTTTCTGTGTACATTGTTGTTACAGGTACAGAATATAATAACAGGCAGACAACCAGAATCTATTCACTAGTGATATCATGTGCCAGAAAATGTGCTGAGGATAGACAGTGGTGTCTCACATAATTCTCACAAATCTATGTGGTGGGAATTACTCAGATTTTACAAAAGATGAAAGTTAGGTACAGAGTGACTATCAAAGATCATGAATTCATTTGACCTATATTGATTAAATGACCATGAGTGCCAGAAAATTCATTACATATGAAATGCAATGTGGAACCAGACATGTAGGATTGCTATGATTACTGTTGTTTATAGAGTCAGGGAAGTCCTTGTGAGGAAATAAGATACTAAAATGGAGAGTAGAATGACAATCTGCAAACAATCTGTGAAGATCAGGAAGAAGAACATTGCAGACACAGAGCACAGCTAATACAATGATCATAAGCTGGGCAACAAATGCACTCAAGCAATCTTCACAAAGACTTGTACGACTTATCTTTAAGACTTTGCCCCTGTAGACTTCCCAGTCTATTGACCTCTGACGAAAGAGCAAAATTTTCCATTCTTATTGCTTCAGCCACCACTTACTTTTAGGACTTCTCAGTTTCAGCCCCCAGCTTAAAAAAACTCTTACCTTTCCTCTGGCATATCTTTAATTCCACAATTGCCCCCAGGTATTGAATGCAGGATCTTCAGAGCACAACTATATTTCCCCACATATTTGAGTTTTCTGCTTCCTATTTAACAATAGATGCATCAAATGTAGCCAGTACATTTGGGTGACTTACACCAGTAAATCACCTTCATAATTATAGAACTTTGTTGATATATTTGCCTTTTTTAAAAAAAATCTCCCCTGCTATTGCCCTGTATCTGTCACACAGGATGATTTATGTGCCTCCTTCTTCCAGTCCTGTTCTGTAACTACTCCCAGTTTTTTTAATGTCAAATCTATATTCATGCTGTCTCTTCATTATAGACATCTTTTAGATCCTCTTTACTTATAAGCTAGATGGCACTAATACTTTCTACTCTTTACTGCATGTTATATATATATATATATATATATATATATATATATATATACCCTCTCATAGGTATCCTAAGAGATAAATGCTATGAAAATAATCTTGTTTGTAGGAAACAAGTTTGAGAAAACTATGGCTCAGAGAGGTACTTGATTTGCTAAGTTGATACAGGTGGTAAGTACACCTGCATGGTACATTTACAGCAACACGTTGAGAGTCTAGAGAACAATTTACTTGGCCAGTAGATTACAAAGCCTCCCCAAGTGCAAGGTTTTGCCTAATCACCCTCATTTCTTACCACCAACCACCCATACATGAGGAACATCCCACTATTTCCAAAATAGATTAATTAAGCAATAATTTATAAAGCACCTACTCTTACATTCACATTAGTAAGTAACATGGTTGTTAAAATCTGTTTAGAGATCAACCAATGGTTTTAGTACATCTTTGAATAAAATAAAGGCAAAAAAGATCAAACAATATATTGGGGAGAACTTAGTAATTATTAATCTGGAGCACACAGATTGAATAATTTTTGAAGAACAAAATAGAGCAAGTCTTTTCTCAATTCTTCTACTTTATATTTCTTTAACTCGCAATGTCCCTTTTGCCCTTTTCTGTTTACTAAAAACATACCTTTCTTGAAAAGACAATTCAAATGTTATTTTTCCTTAGAAGCCTCCTAAACCTCCCTACCTGTGTTACTCATTTCTTCTGGATTCACATACCATTTTATTATGATGAGATTTTTTTACAAGCTTGACTCCTATACCAGACAAGGCAGAGACTTGTATAATATCCCCCAACTTTCAGTCCAAGTTGAGTGAATGAAGTTTTTGACTAAGGTTAGTGAAATCACCATAGAAAAACATTAAAATCTCATGTTCTCCAAAAATTCTTCAATGTGTATGCTTCAGTCTACTTACTAATTCCTCCCCAGTATATTGTTTGATCTCTTTTGCCTTTATTTTATTCAAACATGTACTGAAACCATTGGTTGATCTCTAAACAGATTTTAACAAGCGTGTTACTTACAATGTGAATGTAAGAGTAGGTGTTTTATAAATGACTGCTTAATTGAGTTTTAAGAAAGAGGGATTGGAAGGATGAGAGAATGATGGAGAGGGTGAATCTAATCAGGGTACATCGTAAGCATATATGGAAATGTCACAATGAAACACATCCTGTACAACTAATATATGCCAATTAAAATGTCTAAAAATAAAAATAAAAAATTATTAAAGTTTCAACAGTGCTTTCATAAAGCCTAGGAGAAAGAAGTTATTATTTTTATACTTTAGAGACTATGATACTATATTATGAATTCATACTTAACCCATAAGTGGTTTCTTGGCTACAAGCATTTCAGAATTGCTGGAAGAGCTTCACCAAAATAATACATCTCATACACCCACACCCACCACAAGTTTCTGGCAAGTCTTTCCTTGGTGTCAGGGTCTGTGTAGCTTGACAAACTTTCTAAGTGATTTTTGGGTGATGGTTTAGTTGATACATTTGTTTGTAATAGTTTTCATATGTCAATTACCATTGACATATTATTTCCTCACACTATTCATGTACAAACACAATAGAAGGTATATAGTATGACATTATTTACATTCCCTCGATCACTCTGAAGCCACTGGAGAACAAGATACCTGAAACATTGGATCAATTCTTTGGGTTTTTGTTTTGGTTTTGTTCCCCAAGACTTATTCTCTTTCTATACCTGTCTTTTGCCTTGACTTTGATATTCTCTGCTCTGTTTTCTTATCTTCAAATCTTTCTCATATTCAGTTTTTTGGGTTGCCTCTTTACTAAAAATAAGGAATCAACAACACAGTTTTAATTTTCAGCTTATCTGTGACCATAGTTTCTTTAATATCTCCAACAAGCTATGAACACCCACAAGTACTTGATTATTGAATGTTATAGAATTATGTTCATTATTAAGAGTAAAAGCATTCCAAAATTCTCACCATCTAAAAAAAAAAGAGAATCAATTTTTCATCTCTTAAAATCACAAGGTAATTAGGTTGTAGGAAGAACTTAGTTTCACAACTCAAGTGTGGTTTTCTTCAGTTCTTTGTGTGATCTCTTAATTCATGGATAAGTTTAAAAGCAATGTTTCCCTTTTCATATTTGTCATGAGTCCCTTATGAATTTAGAGTCCCCTAAAATATTTCTTATAGATGGAGCTCAGAACCATAAAAATTTTTAATAGAGTCCTGGGGCCATTGAGGAACATTCTCTTGAGACTTTTGCTTTAGATGTAAGTAGTCTTCATCATGGCATCATCCAATGTGGTGCCTACAAAAATGTTTTTTAATCTTCAACACCATAAGGACTTTTCATTGATGCTGGTTCTTTTTCTTCTGAATAATAGTAGAAATTATTGGAATTCAGCTCGTTAAAAAAATATATCATGGAATGTAGATGATTCCCACTGGCATACTTTACTTTTTTGCACAATATCATTCACTTTATAATTCTGAAAAGTTGCCATGTCTCTCAGGTGTCTTCTACCCCATTTGCAGGACAAGGGAGTAGAGTGTCTTGAGAACCAATTGCCTAGAGGAAACAAAAGGAAGAGAGGAAAAAACAAACACAGTATGATCACTGTGCTTGCTTTCTCATAGGGGCAACTGTGCTATAGAAAACCTTGTTGAAAAGCAAAGTCCACTTTTATCCAAATCCCCAGTTACTGCAGTGCTATCCATAACCATAACTAGCTCCCAAATGCCTTTCTCATGAGTTTA